CCCCCCCCCCCCCCTCCCGAACGTCCAAGCTAAGCCACCAATTGTGAATGTTTACGGGGAAATCAAGGTCTCCCCTTAGACGAACATGGCGGCCGGTTATGCTAACATCAAGGCGCCGACATGATGTCGGGCTTCTGTAAATATTTATTCTCTGACTGGGAGTCAGAAATTTTAGACTTTAGCATGTGTAATTGTCATCGCCACATTTTGTCTCTGAGTTCTATAATTGTGTTATAAAATCATTTGTTTACGCGCGGAACGATATCGTTACCAATTTACGAAGTTTCACTAAATGTTTTATAATGTTTTTATAGAGTTTTTCTGTTGTTTTCTTTTTTCTGTCTTTCTTTGTTCTTTTCTGTGTTTTCGTCTTGTTCTGTCTTGTTCCAAGTTTCCGCTTGACTTTGCATCCACTTGCTAGTTCTGCATCTGCTGACTGGAGTTGAGAGGGTAACTCCTTTTAACATTTAACATTTTGCCGCCTCTTGTAAAAAACCCTTTTAAATGGCTTGGTATAGACAGGTCCTTGGCAGAGATCAAAGTACCGGTATATTTTGAATTATATAATCGATCCAAAATGCAAATATCTCACACGGAACTTTATTCTTAAATTATCAAAGGATTACGAAGATTCTAAATTTGCTTCTAGAACTACACTGCACAAAAAAGTTTTGAAAGTTGTTTAGGCCCAAATATGAACATTTATACTATTCTAAGGATAGTAAAAATAGATCGGTACATGAAGACGAGGCTTCTTCATTTCGTTACGCAAGCATGTTTTCTTATATCATAACTTCAGAAAATTATCCAGTATTTTATGCATTCAGTCATTGAATCACTTGTAATTTTTAGCAAGTTAATTATATTGTTCTCTTTTATCTTTTAAGCTAAGCGATCGTCTTTTTTGAAACAGCAAAATTTATGATTCAAAATGATGTCTTGTGTAAATACAGAACGAAATGAACATTGGCGCAGGTGTAATTTTTGACATGGAATTTTTTCTTTCCTACTTTGGTAAATTCACTATTATATTGTTCATTCGGCCTTAAGATGTTCATACGGGCTTAAAAAATTTAAAATGGTTTTCCATGCAAATCTTGCATCTTTATATCGCTTGAATTTCGCAGAACTAAACTTTCGCATTTTTGAAGAATTGTTGAATTTAGTTGCAAAATACATGTTAAGTGTTTTGTCACAACAATATTCGAAATTTTTATTCAAATTTACTGGCCAGCTGCCCCCTTCCTCTCATACATGGTAACGCCCATAACGTCTTTACTATCTGAATATCAACACAACGTCGCGAGACACGTTCAGTTGAATTGGCAGGTGGCTTTAAAGTCTGATCTGGTATTATATCTATCAGCTGAAGAAATACGTTAAGGTAGGATAAATTTCTAATTGTTCTGAATAGTAGAGATATATGAGTAGAACATAAACGGATGTTACGGATGTTAGTTTAATACAATTTAAATACGGTTTATTGCGCTTTTGTCCCAATGGTGTCGTTTCATATTCGCTTGTTTTATAATGGCAGAGCGGCTACATGAAGGTTATAGCCCTATGTTTCGTGCACGATGCTTTCTTTGATCGTGACTCAACGACAAACCTATCCAGTATCCTCTAATTTATTGTGCACAAAATATGAGTGTATATTCACATAAAAACAAGTTAAGTGATTTGGGCAATAGTTCAATAAACCGTACAGTATAACATATGAATTATGAATTGTCCATCTGCCGTATAAATATTGCGCGTTTGAATCTATTAGTAATAACATCGTATGAAAATGTAGCCATGTAGTGATATGCCTTTTACAATACTGCGCCTGGAGTTTATTCCATACAGCAAACTTTTGTATGATTAACTTTCTCCGCGTTCGCATGAGAGAAAAATGTTTCCAGTTTGAAACTACAAAGCATCGCAGGTGGAATGCTCTATTTCCCTCCTATATAAAGGACTGGTTCAGTTTGGGATGGTCTATCCTAACCCTCTATGGAAAGCAGTTTAGATAATAATCTGATAGAGCCAGATTACAGGGGCGGATTTAGGATTTTTCGTACCTCAGTCAAAACGTTTTTGGCGGACGGGGAGTTGTCGGCGCTGGGCGTGGTAGACGGCATGCGGAGGGGGGGGGGGGGG